ACTGCTGTGGTAAATCTGGTCAACAGATCTGAGTACTGAGGTATGGGAAGGCCAATATGATACTCTGAGTCTTTATGTTAAATGGATTTCAACTTCAAGGACTCCCATGGCCATTCCACTTCAGAAGCTCATCCATACTCCCATACCTCAAGCAAGGATCGCTTGGAACTTTTGCCACTTCCTAGATACCAACTTTTGAATTTTTCTTTCTGGACTCTTATCCCTCTACCAAGAGAAAGGGAAAAGTTAAAATGAGAAAACAAAAAGTGCAAGAACCTTGAGAGAGAGGACTCAGCTGGGCACACTGGAAGAATAGAAAGGAAGGCAATGCAGCTTGAACATGGACCAAAGGAAAACACTTTACAAGAAATAGGCAAGGACCCTATCACAGAGAGCCTAACAGGTCATACTAAAAACCGTAGATGTTGCTATTTTCATAAATTTTGCTACTCCCATGGTGAATCAATTTCAAATAAATGAAACTGCTTCACTTTCAATGTATGAAAATGATTTTCTACATCTATGTCTGGAACCTCATCTGCTCTTCCAAAACCCAGTGCAATAGATTCAACTGCCTACCGGCTAGGCAGCCTCTCTTAAATGTCAACACATTCAAAGCCAAACACAATCTTTTTTCCTAAGCTAACTTTTTTTCCTAAGCTAACTCCTCTGGTCTGCTTCATATCTGCTGATGGACCGATCATTCATGCAGGCTTTGTATCTCAAAGTTATCTTTCATTCCTTGCCTACTGTCCACCCCCACCATATACAGGCTCCTAAATCCTCCAATCTACACTTGCTTTTTTGTAGTCCCACCACTACTAACCTAGTTCACACTAGCACCAAGTCTGTTCACATTACTAGAGTAGGCTAACATGTTTCCACATCTCCAGTTCTTTCCCCATCAAATTTATCCTGCATGATGTCATTTAGATACTTTAAGACCACCAGTAAGCAGATGCCATACAAATGTATTACCTCAAACTCTGATTTCACTGCAAGCTCCACTCATATATCTGCCTACTTAACATATTTATACTTAGTCTCATTCGCATCTCAAATTTAACATGTCTAAGACTGAACTCCTGATTTCTGATCTCCCCTCCAAATTCCACACCTACTCCTCCTATTCCTCTCCATCTCCCACCATCATCTCAGTAAGTGACACCTCTACCCATCCAGCTGCTTGAGCCAGAAACCTGGGAGTCATTCCTGACACTTTCCTCTTCCTCAACCCCCACATTCCATCTATAATTAAATGAATTCTTTCCTTAACATGTTTCTCAAATCATCTACTTCCCTCCATCTCCGCTGCCACTGAGTCTCACCTGCAAGATTTTCATTTAAGTGGAATGGGTGCAGTCCAGGCAGCAGGAGTTGTTGAAGTTCCTCAGGTGACTCTAACAAACAGCTAAGGGTAAGATCTAGACTTTGGGCTTCTACCACCTCTCTGACTTCATTTCTACTACCTTCTCCCTTGCTCACTTTAACTCTGAGTCATGCTGGCCACCTTGCTGGTTCCTGAACATGCCAGGCACACACAATGCCCCATGGCTTTTGCAATCCCTTTTGTCTGGACTGCTGGTTCACTCCCTCATCTTCTACAGATATTTACACAAGCATTACCTCGTAGTAATTTAGTGAGGACTTCCCTGGCCATTCTACCTAAAATCACAACACCCACTCCCACCCCAACACGCCCTATCTCTTTTTTGGCTTTTGTTTTTCTCCTTGGGACTTATTACCTTCTAACATACCATATATTTTATTTATCTTGTTTGCTGCCTGAATATGAGCTTCACGAGAGCAGGGATTTTTGTGTTTTGTTCCTTAACTAGATCCCCAGCATCTGGCACATAGTAGGAACTCAATTAATATTTAATGCCTCAGCAAGGCCTTCCCTGGCTCCCCCAACTAAGTTCAATCTCTCTGTTATTCTCCCAAATAGTAATTTATTCCTTCATTACTTTATAATAATTCATAATTATTTTTGTGTTTATTTGTTTAAGCTCCTTTCTGACACTGCAAATTCTGTAAGAGGAGGGACTTTTCTTTAGGTTCATCACTAGATGATACACCTTGCCTCATACTTACATGACACAGAGCAGCTACTCAAAAACTAGTCAGCAAATAGATAAATACATACATACATATATGAGGTCAAATAATTTTCAGAAAACACTCTGATCATGCTATTTCTTCAACCCACCACTTTTCAAAGTTTCCCATGCCTTACCACATTAAACCCAAACTATTAGCCACAGTGGGAAACCTTTCTTGTTCTGAGCCCGTGTACTTGCCAGTCTTAGCTCTTTTGCTTCAGTCACACTACACTCTTCACAGCCACACTACACTCTTCACAGTGGCCAGTACACACCCTATACTAACAAGCACCGCATTTCTCACCTCCACATTTTTACCCAGCACTCCTTCTGCCTGAATTCCCTTCTCCATCTCTGCTAGTCAAAATTCCAACCTTTCACAACACCTGCCCTTCAAAACCCAGTGCAAAGAGAGTCTTGACTCTCACCTCGGCTTCCCCAATGATTTCCTCCTCTTCTAAACACCAAATACATAATCAAGGTTTCCTCTCCCACTCATTTCAGAACATACTCCTCCCTAACCTTCTACCATGTCTTTTACTTAGTCACTTGATATCTGTTGAAATGAAGTCAGTGAACACCACTACTCTCTTCTCTGTCATAAAACTTATTTAAATAGTTGGGGGAAGGGAGGGGCTATTCCTCTTTAGTGAGACCCTTTAATGACCAAAAGATATAAAGCTGGAATGGTGAATTCCCAACCTTAACCTTCCCTTCTGTGCCTTTTCTGGAAAGGCAGGACCTTCCCAAATGCAAGTTTTAGAACTCAGATTTTAAAATATATTTAACAGCTTGAAAAACTGTTAAGTCGTACATACTACATGACAAATTCCATAAGCTTTATTAAAATGGTTTAGCTAAGACTACCATACAGTTGAAAGAATGTCTGCTGAAAATCTGAACACCTAACACTCTGCTGTTTGAAAATGATAATTCCTGGGAAAACATCTGTGTTCAACTAGAGATTTGAAACTTTTTAGGATCTTTTAAAATATTCCATTCATTCTGATATTATGTTAAGCGATGTTAAGTGACGGTCCTTACAATCTAGTAAAATTCCACTAAGAAACACTTGTATCTCAAGTACTGACCTTGTGTCCCTGTCCCCACCCACACCCTCTCCTAAGGCTGTGGTTCTCTTTTTTTTTTTGAGTTGGAGTCTCACTCTGTCGCCCAGACTAGAGTGCAGTGGCCGCTCCCAGCCACTGCAGCCTCGACCTGCTGGGCTCAGGCGATCCTTCCGCCTCAGCCTTCCAAGTAGCTGAAACTACAGGCGCGCGCTACCATGCCCGGCTCATTTTGATTTATCGGCTCATTTTGATTTATCGTAGAGATGAGGGCTTGCCAAGTTGCCCAGGCGGGTCTCGAACCCGCGGGCTTAGGCAATCCACTCACTTCAGCCTACCAAAGCGCGGGATTACAGGCTGAGCTACCACGCCCGACTAGGTTGTGGTTCTCATGTCCATGGATACCTTGAGGTCCCTTTCAAGGGCTCTGTGAAGTCAAAACTGTTTTCATAATAATACTAAGAAACTGTTTGCCTTTTTCACTGTGTTGATATCTACACTGACAGTACAACAGCAATAATGAGTCAAACACCTGGTGCCTTAGCATAAGCCAGGGTAATGACCTCAAACTGTACTAGTCATTGTGTCTTTCACCAAGATGCATAGGTGATTTAAAAAAACAAAGAGTCACTTGCACTTAAGAATATTCTTGATGAAGCAATAAAAAAGTATTAGCTGTATATGTCTGAACCCTTGAGTGCAGGTCTTTTACATACTCTGTGTAATAAAATGGGCCATATGCATAAAGCACTTTTGTAGGACACTCAAGTACAACGCTGTCTCCAAGAAAAGTGTTGTGCCTCTGAGTTGTGAGTGAAACTAGCTGCTTTTTTTCATGGCACATTACTTTTACTTGGAACAAACAATAAACTGGTATTCAGACAAGAATATTTGCAGACATTTTCTTAAAAATGGAGTCTGTCACTTCAAGGAAAACAAGTGACAGTATCTGTTGCCAATGATAAAATTCAAGCTTTGAAGGAAATAATTAGAATTTTGGAAAACTTGTAGCCGCTTGACAGCTTCCCAATACTTACAGACTTTTCTCAGGAAACGGGTGGTAGTAATAACTAATGCAGGATTTTTTGATATTGCATTATGAAATGTTTAAACTTTTGGAAGACCTGCTTAACTCAATGAACTAGAATTTCCCAAATGACCAAAGCATATTATAAAATCATGTATGGGGAAAAGATCCATTCTAGTGCAGGACAGACCGGATTGGATTTTAGTGAAACAGTGATATCAATGATTCCAAATTCCACACTGCAATTTAATTAAAAAGAAATCAGCACTTGTCAAATTTTGGTGTAGTATCAGAGAAGAGCACGCATAACTGTCCAAAAAGGCTATAAAAACATCTCCCTTTTTCAACTATATGTCCCTTGAGGCCATATTTTCTTCATATACTTCAATCAAAACAATTTATCACATCAGATTAAATACAGAAGTAGATATGAAAATCCAGCTGTCTTCCATTAAGCTGGATATTTAGGAGATTTGCAAAAATATTAAAAATGCCAACCTTCTCACAAATTTTTTTTGAAAAGTTAGTTGTTCATAAAAGTGTGCTATTTATGTTAATGAAAGGGTTTTTAAAAATTTTCTCATTTTAATTTCTAATTTGGTGAATATCAAACTATAACCCACACAAACAAAAGCTCTTTAAGAGGCTGGGCATAATGATTTATGCCTGTAATCCCAGCACTTTGAGAGGCTGAGGCAAGAGAATTACTTGAGCCCAGAAGTTCAAGACCAGCCTGGGCAACATAGGAACACCTTATCTCCACAAAAAATAATTTAAAAATTAACCAGATGTGGTAGCACACACCTGTAGTCCCAGCTACTTGGAAGGCTGAGGCAGAAGGACTGCCTGAGCCCAGGAGGTCGAGGCTGTGGGGAGTCGTGATTGTGCCACTGCACTCCAGCCTAAAAAAAGCTCTTTAGGGTTCTCAATAATTCTTAAAATTGTAAAGAATTCTGAGACCACAATGTTTAAGAATCATTCCTAAAACTGCTCTGTTTGTACCAAAACTCTCCCTTTTCCATCTGTAACTGGAGTTAAACCTGGGGCAAGTATCTGGCCCAGGGGAAAATCAAGCTTTGACTGGCCAAACCAGATCTCTCTCAGGAATCTGAATTAAGCCTCACGGAGACTGAAGTCTATTTATAGCAGAACACCAGAGTCCATTAAATACCACTGTTGAAGTCCCTGGACCTGTTTTGGTTCCAGTGCTTTCTGAGGCTTGGTTATTCAGCTTTGTCTTGAATTCTACAACAGTTATTTACCTTTGATAAATCTCTTTTTATATGAGCTGGTTTAAATAGGTTTCATTTCCTTATGATTATGAAAGTCTTAACACCATAAATAAAATTCCATGCCTTCACCAAAACTGTTTTACGTCGTGTCCTTATACATCAAATTATAACAAGGTTCTCCTTCATTTGAAGATCATATCCCTACATAAAAATGAAAAATCACTCCAAGAAGAACGAATGGAAATTGTAGTTTCATTCAGAACAACTGATTAGTGACCAGATAAAGAAGGTCTAATTTTTCTTTGCTTTGGGAGGAGGCCATTATGTATCCTATGAACATATTTTAGAAAATTAATAGCTTCATTAAAATGTACCAATCTACTTGTATACCTAATCCTGAATTTTATCCCACATCTTTAAAATTACATAAATAAATAAATAAACCAATTTTTAAAAAATAAAAATAAATAAATAAATAAAGGTGGCCAGGCTTGGTTGCTCAGCCTGTAATCCCAGCACTTTGGGAGACCAAGGTGAATAGACTGCCTGAGCCTGTGAGTTCAAGACCAGCCCAGGCAACTTAGCGAGACCTCATCTCTACAATTTAAAAAAAAAAAAAATTAGCCAGGCATGGTAGCGCATGCCTGTAGTTCAGCTACTTAGAAGGCTGAGGCAGAAGGATCACCAGAGCCCAGCAGGTTGACACTGGGGTAGCCCAGAGTGTGCCACTGTACTCCAGCCTGGGTGACAGAGTGAGACTTCAACTCAAAAAAAAAAAAGGTACCATACCAATCTGACAGGGAGCTTGATGACCGGAAAAAGAACAAGGTAGTACGACTTGGCTCTACCAAATATGCATAATTATTAAAAAGCCAAATATGCATAATTATTAAAAAGAGAATTGAGGCAGTGTAGTACCAGTACAAGATAGGCAAACAGACCAATGGTACAGAATAGAGAAAATAAAGATACAAACTCTCCTATATGTGGAAACATATAAGTGGCATTATAAAGATAGACTATTCAATAAATGATGTGGGGTCACTGGGTTATCCTTATGGAAAGAAAATTAAATCCATATTTTAGAGTTATCCTTATGATCCCTACTTCAAACCATCATCAAAATAAATTCCAGGTGGATTACAGATCTGTGAAAAGCAAGACTTTAACACTTTTAGAGAAAAATATAGGCTGTAACTATTGCCTTAGGATAAGAGGAATTCCTTCAAGACATAGAAAACACCATAAAAGAAAAATATAACAAATCTGCTTACATTAAAACCTTAAGCTCGCTGGGCTCGGTGGCTCAGCCTGTAATCCCGCGCCTTGGGAGGCTGACGTGAGTAGGATTGCCTGAGCCCATGGGTTCGAGACCCGCCTGGGCAACTTGGCGAGACCTCATCTCTACAACAAATCAAAAATTAGCCGGGCGTGGTAGCGCGCACCTGTAGTTCTAGCTACTTGGAAGGCTGAGGCAGAAGGATCGCCAGAGCCCAGCAGGTCGAGGCTGTGGTGGCCGGAAGCGGCCACTGCACTCCAGTCTGGTCGACAGAGTGAGACTCCAACTCAAAAGAAAAAAGAAAAAAAGAAAAAAAAAAACCTTAAACTCAGTTTCAATAAAAGATAACATTTAAAAACAAATTAAAACACACCCATTAGGATGACTATTATCAAAAGAACCCAGAAAATAAGTGTTGGTAAGGTTGTAGAGAACTTGGAACCTTTGTGCACTATTGGAAAGTAAGATGCTGCAGCCACTATGGAAATTCCTCAAAAATTAAAAATAGAATTACCATATGATCCAGCGATTCCACTTCTGGGTATATATAGAAGAACTGAAAGCAGCATCTTGAAAAAGTATTTGTACACCTATGTTTAGAGCAGCATTACTCACAATAGCCAAAAGGTGGAAACAACTCAAGTGTCCATCAAAAGAAAAGTAGATAAACAAAATGTAGCCTATACATACAAAGAAATATTATTCAGTCTTAAAAAGAAGGGAATTTTGGCATATGCTACATCATGGATGAACACTGATGACATTACTCTAAGTGAAAAAATAAAACATTACAGAAGCAGTCACAAAAAAGCCAAATTCTGTATGATATCATTTATATGAGGCACCTAGAGTAGTCAAACTCCTAGAGACAGAAAACAGAATAGTAGCTCTCAGAGGCTAGGGGAGGGAGGAAACAGGAAGTTGCTGTTTAGTGGGCATAGCATTTCAGTACTGCAAGACGAAAAAGTTCTAGAGATCCACTGCACAATGCGAATATACTCAACACTACTGAACTGTACACTTCAAAGAGATCAAGACAGGCCAGGTGCGGTGGCTCCCAACACTTTGGGAGGCCAAGACAGGAGGATTGCTTGAGTGCAGGAGTTCAAGACCAGCCTCGGCAACATAGTGAGACCTGGGCAACACAGCGAGACCTCGCCTCTGCAGAAAAATAAAAAATTAGCCAGGCATGGCGGCATGAGTCCATAGTCCCAGTTATCTGGGAGGCTGAGGTGAGAGGATCGCCTGAGCCCAGGAGGTCAAGTTGCGATGAGCCATGCTCATGCCATTGAACTCTGGCCTATGACAGAGTGAGATCCCAACTCAAAAAAAAATAAATGCTTAAGACAGGCCAAGCATGGTGGCTCATACCTGGGCAACACAGCAAAACCTACTCTTTTAAAAAAAAATGGTTAAGATGGTAAATTTTATATTATGTATTTTTTAAAACACAATACAAAAATAAAAGACTGTTTATTATTATGTATAACAAAGAAAATAAGGAATACTTTAAATGTCTATTAGTGGAAAATGGACTGTGACACAGTGTATTCACACAACCAAATACTATACAGCAGTTAAAATGAACTTAGTCACATATATCAAACCTAAGTAAATCTCAAAAGCCATACTGCACATAAATATTAAGGTAAAGATTGGTATGTACTGGATTATATGGCACATGTGGGATTACAGCACAGTTAGAAAACAATAAATGTGGAATTCAGGATTAGGTGATAGCTTTAAGGAGAGAGGACTATACCAAGACTTCACTGTCTCTGTTCTATTTTATTTACTAGAAAAATATCTGGGAGCAAATATAACAAAATGTTAAGATCTGATAAAGCTGGGTGATGGGTGTATGAGTGACGTTATTCTTTATATTTGCCTATATGTTTAAGATATTTTATCATTTTAAAATTAAGGCAGTATAAAGTCCTATACTGAAAAAATGTCGCTTTTAGTTACAGTTAATTTCTCCACAGCTATCTATTTCAAAACATCAAGTAAAGGAGTATATAAACCTCAATTTAAGGAGATGAATGATGACACATACATTTTCCCCTGCAAATAAACAGGAGGTACAGAGAGGAGGAATTAGAGGCTTTCAAAGAACTACTGCAAAGCCCTTCTCTGATGCAGCTGGTGCCATGGCAAGAAACTGTTTATGCCAGGAGCTCCTTAGGAAATAAAAAGCCAAGAATAAAGGTCTTCATCGTCAGGCAAGAATTACCATCTGAATGTTGAATTCCCACTCTGAGGTCTGTATCCAGCTCCCCCAAAGCTGCATGGTCAGCTCTGCCATAAGAGCACCTAGGCAACTCCTTGCCAGTTCTACTAAAACATGACCATAGTTTATTAGCAAATGTGTCAAGAGTGATTCGCCATGCCTGAAAACAAGCACAAAGACACAGGTATGCTTCCCAGAATACACAACCAGAATATACTATGAAACCAGATTGAGAAATAACCTTGTAAATATGACAAGATGGTAAAAAGAAACTGAAACACAAATTTCAGATAAATATCAGAATACAGTTATTGTCTGGTTTTGAGTAACCCAAAATCAGTAAGATTACTCAAATACCACAACACAGTAAGAGCCTAACATTTTTTTTTTTTTGCTAAAGCAAGAATTAGTCCACTTTAGAATGCAATTCTTCTGTATCTTTCATTTGTACTAACCTTCATTAGTGTGATGAATTTTCAGAAAACCCTGTGGATGCACCGACATTTCTCCTGAGTCTAAGTACATGACAGAAATCCACAGTATTCAGCACTGTTCCAGACCCTGAGTTAAGACAGCTAGATACCAGAGTTTATGGCCTATCTGAAAATATTCCCTAATTAAGAACAATTTGTCTTACTTTTTAAAAAATGTTATTACAGCATAATCTTATATAACACTGTGCAGAGATGAGAAAAAGGGAAAACACACACATGCATATACACACAAAGGTTTTTCATATAATGATAAAACCCCCACATACACAGCAAAGTTTATAAACTCACAATTTCAACCTCTAAATTTCACTCTGTGTACCTCAGAAAAAAAGGTTGCTCATAAGAGAAGAAATACTCCAGTCTACTCTACAGCTAACTTTATGTTAAGGTGGGGGTAGAGGGTCCAATGCTCTCTTCAGTGACACTATCTGTCTTTCACAAAGAATATTCATAACAAAGAAGTTGTGAGTTCTGAGATCCAGAATCCAGTAATGCCAGCGGCACTGATGTGAGTCAAACACCAGATATACTGGGTTAAAATAAAGGTACCTTTAGCTTTTAGAGTTTAGTTCCAGAAGCTCCATATGGGAGACACCTAAATTTACTGAAAGGAAAGAAAATGTGATAAATATATGGGTGGACTCCCAAAAAACCAGAATTAACTTTTGAAGGGCAGGCCCCTTGTAGTACAGGTTTCCCCTGCTAGGTAAGTGTTCTAGGAACTCTCAGCATCAGTGTAACAGCTAGTGTTGTTGTGAGAGGCTGCATTAGGCTTCAGTGAATTTTTTTTTGCATTCTTTAACACATTTGCCCATTTCATGGTGGGTGATTTACAAGCACACCTGCCCATACCACATTGAGTGTTCAGCAGTTTTTGACTAAAAACAGCATGACCCCCACCCTCCCTATTCACCCAATCTCACCCTGAGTGATTTTTTTTTGTTGTTTTTCCAATGAAAAAAGTCCTCAAAAGGAAACTATTTTGCCAATGTGGAAGAGGTGAAACAAAAAATGGCAGAAGTACTAAAAGGCATCAAAACTAACAAGTTCAAAAACAATTTTGAGAAGTGGAAAAGTGTCTGAACAGGTGTAGTGCATCAAATGAAGAGTACTTTGAAGGTGACAAACTTAAATGTAAGAATAAGTACACATTTTTTAATAAGTAAATTTGGGGTTTATCGTTACATAAAAAAGTCATTGTGCATGTGTGTGTGTGTGTGTCTATGTGTATGTATGAAAGGCGAGGATTCCACATCAGGATCAAGAAAAAGACAAAGTGAATGAGGAACTTCTTGTGCCAGAAGCAAGGAAGTACTCATAACCCAAGCTTAAAGGACTCCACAGGCCAAATATGGGACACTGTGAGCATCAGAAAAAAAGCCTGTAATTTTTGATAAAACTAAAATCTATAAGTTCATAAAGACATTAAAACAAAGAAAGTGGGGCCAGGCGTGGTGGTTCACGTCTATAATTCCAGCACTTTAGGAAGCTGAGGTGAGAGGATTGCCTGAGCCCACAGGTTTGAGACCAGCCTAGGCAACTTGGCAAGACCTCATCTCTACAATAAATAAAAATTAGCCAGGCATGGTAGCGCATGCCTGTAGTTCCAGCTACTTGGAAGGCTGAGGCAGAAGAATCACCTGAGCCCAGTAGGTCGAGGCTGTGGTGGCTGCCAGTGTGCCAAGGCACCCCAGCCTGGCAAGAGTGAGACTCCATCTCAAAAAAAAACAAAGAAAGTGAGAAAAAAAATAATTCATTTATCACCATTAGAGATTATATCATATCATCTTCTTACTCAGAAGAGTATTAAAGGAAAAAATTAACAATTTGTCTCAACTTTTGGTATAAATTATAATTATACTAAATGTAGTATAAATTATACTAACTGCTGAGGAAAATCCTTACAGAAACTTGAAAGCTACGAACAAAAGAAACGACAGAATTAGAAAATCACCCTTTTGCAACAAGGATCATCGTCACCATGTCAAAGGTTGCTGGAGAAGTTAACAGTACAGTACCAAAGTGACAATACTCAACAGATTACTTAATACTTACAAAGGGGGAAATGTCTTCACAACAGAGAGATCAGGTATTTATCACCTTAAATAAATGATCAAACTCAGCATCATTACTAGAGGGACATTATGACATTGTTTCTCCTATTATGATGCAATGAGTCAAACAACACCTACAAAGTGTTCTCACCAAGAAGGTTTAGCCATAATCTAAACAACCCTTTAGATCTAAATACCAGTTTATGAAACTGTGAGGAAACAACCAGAAAATTCCAGAAGTGGTATATTCTACAGGACAAATGGCCCAGTCTCTTCATAAAACCAACACTGTATGGCTTCTAAACCGTTCTAGATTTTAAACCAGGAGCAGTGGCTCACACCTGTAATCCCAGCAATTTGGGAGGTCGAGGTGAGAGGACTGCTTCAGACCAGGAGTTTGAGACCTGCCTGGGTAACATAGTGAGACCCTGTCTCTACAAAAAAAATCAAAAAATTAGCCAGGTGCGGTGGCATGCACTTGTAGTTCCTGCTACCCAGGCAGCTGAGGCAGAAGAACTGCCCGAGTCCAGGAGGCTGAGGTTGTGGTGAACTGTGATCATGTCACTGCATTCTAGCCTGGGTGACAGAGTGAGACTCCGACTCAAAAAAAACAAACAGTTCCAGATTTGAAGAGAAACTAAAGAGACATGTTCAGACTTCTTAGAAAAAATATACAAACAGCTAAAAAAGTGTCAACTTCAAGAAACTGGGAAAATCTGAACGTGAACTGGATATTAGATGGTATAGAGAATAATTGCCTTAACTCTGAAAAGTACTTTAAGAACAATTAAGTACTATAAACGTGTCTTTATTTCAAAGAGATGCATCTAAAGTATTTAAGAGTGAAGTGTCATGATGTCTGCAATACAAAATATATATACTATATATCTATCTAAACCCATATGCACATATATAAAGATAGTAAAGCAAATATAGGAAAATGTCAACTACTGAACCTAAGTGATGGATATAAAGGTGATAGTTGTACTGTTCTTTCCATTTTTCTGGATGTTTAAAATTTTTCACTGAAGCAGTTATTTTAAAAAAGGCTCCAAATGCACTTCCTTCAGGAAGTCCTCCCAAATGAACTTTCCTCTAACCCTTAATCACCCCTTCACAAGATCTATCCCAGCATGGGACACAGAGTATGACTGCTCACCTTCTGTATTCTCACTATTTCACATATTCAGCAGATTAGGTTTTCCAACAGGATTGTGTCCTTGTCTGGTTTTGTATCAGGGTAATACTAGCCTCATAGAATAAGTTTTGGAAGTATTCCCTCCTCTTCCATTTTCTGGAAGTTTGAGTAGAACAGGTATTAGTTCTTTAATTGTTTGGTAGAATTCAGTAGCAAAGCCATCAGGTCCTAGGCTTATCTTTGAGAGGATTCTTTTTATTACTGCTTCAGTCTCATAACTTATTGTTATTGGTCTGTTTAGGTTTTCTGTTTTTCATGGGTCAACCCCGGTTGGTTGTATGTGCCCAGGAATTTATCCATTTCTTCTAGTTTTCCAATTTGTGGTTTTTCATCAAGACTGTAAACTCCTTCAGGCACAGACATCTTTTAATTCTTTTCTATTTCTTCACAGCTCATAGTGAAGACTTCTGCAATCAGCAGACTTTTTAAAAGTGCTTGTGAGCTAGGCTCGGTGGCTCAGCCTGTAATTCGGCGCCTTTGGGAGCCCGCGGGTTCGAGACCCGCCTGGGCAGCGAGACCTCATCTCTACAATAAATCAAAAAATCAGCCGGGCGTGGTAGCGCATGCCTGTAATTCCGGCTACTTGGAAGGCAGAGGCGGAAGGATCGCCGGAGCCCAGCAGGTAGAGGCTGCGGTGGCCGGGAGCGGCCATGTACTCCAGTCTGGGCGACAGAGTGAGACTCCAACTCAAAAAAAAAAGTGCTTGTGGCCAGGCTCGATGGCTCAGCCTGTAATCCCAGCACTCTGGAAGGCTGAGGCGAGTGAACTGCCTAAGCTCGTGGGTTCGAGACCCATCCGGAGAACTTGGTGAGACCTCATCTCTACAATAAACCAAAAAAATTGCCATGGTTACAGCTGGAACAAAGCCATGACCCAGAGGAAGTTTGGGGTGCATATATCATTCTGTGAGAAAGAGCTGGATGATATATGGAAGGAAAAAGGGATGCGTCTCCAGCTCTTTCTCACAGAATGATATATGTACCTCAAACTCCTCTGGGTCATGGCTTGGCTCCAACTCTTACTCTCCTAACTAGCCAACATGAATAGCTCTAAACGGAGAAATCACCAAAGTGCCAAATGGACACCAACTGCCCCAAACCTAAGTGTGGAATCATCACAGTAACTTCTACTCAATCTTCACACAAGGAAAAAGGGATGCATCTCCAGTTCTTTCTCACAGAATGATATATGCACCCCAAACCAGGCGTGGTAGTGCGCACCTGTAGTTCCAGCTACTTGGAAGGCTGAGGTGGAAGGATCGCCGGAGCCCAGCAGGTTGAGGCTGCAATGGCCAGGAGCTTACCACTGCACTCCAGTCTGGGTGACAGAGTTAGACTCCAACTCAAAAAATAAAAATAAAAAATAAAAAAGTGCTTGTAACTGTATTTTGTGCTGAGAAAGAGGGTACTCAGTGAAGCACCTTAACTAAGTAAGCTTTCAATTCCTCAACAAAACCAGCAGCAGTTCACTTGGATAAACAATTTCAAGTCACAGCTAATAAAAGGAGATCATAAAACATCACTTATAGGCTTACAGAATTTCACATAAAGAAACTAGCATCTAAAAGTTGAAAGAAGATATTGGGATATAAGTTTTCTATGTCTTCCTAGCATTGTCATGGATTTACTGTGTTATCCAAGCAAATGACCAGTCTGACACTATTCTTCAGTAAAACAATATCCTCCACCCTCACTCCCACCATCTGCAAAACCATGATGGTATTTATCCACAATTCAGTGTAATGAAGCTTAACAAACTACATAATGAACTTTAAAATCTGAGATAGACTCCACAAAAGTTCAAAAATTTTGATAAGTGTTGGTGAGGAAACAGGCAGATTCACACTGCTAGCAGAAATATAAATTCATACCACCTCTGTAGAAAGCATTTAGTAATACGTAACATTAAAAAATATCCACACCCATTAATCCAGCATTTCCACTAGGGATTTAATCCAACACCCATGTATACATAAAAAGTACATACAAGGAATTAACTGTAGCACTGGAAATAACCTGAATGCCCAATAATAAGAGTTAGCTGAATGACGGTACATCTACAATGGAATATCTGCCTTCTTTCAAAAAGGAAGAGGGGCTGTATTTACTATACGGAATTATCACCAAGATAAGTTTTGTTTTTTTTTTTTGAGTTGGAGTCTCGCTCTGTCACCCAGACTGGAGTGCAGTGGCCGCTCCCGGCCACCACAGCCTCAACCTGCTGGGCTCCGGCGATCCTTCCGCCTCAGCCTTCCAAGTAGCTAGAACTACAGGCGCGTGCTGCCATACCCGGCTAATTTTTTTTTTTTTTTTTTAATTGTAGAGATGAGGTCTCACCAGTTGCCCAGGCGGGTCTCGAACTAGATGGATCAAAGGAAGACAGTAAAGAAAGACGTTTTACTCTGTGTACCTTTTGAAATTTTGTTTCATATGTATGTACATGTGTTACCCATTTTAAAGAGTGGTTTTTTTAAAAACAAGGATCTGCAACAATACGAATTATTTAACCATACTCATCTTAGCCCCACATTTTAAGTTAGGCTTCAGTGAATTCAACTAGACAAAATAGCTGCAGATAAAAACAAAGCATCCTAAATGGCAGAAACCTACTGAGAAGAAAGATGGACATTTATTACCTCAATAGTTTCACTTATAGACTTTACCAGAACCTGCTTCTGGTCTGCATATAAGCAACAAGAAAACACCTGTAAGTGCCTAACTAGCTAATATGAATAGCTCTAAAAGGAGAAATCACCAAAGTGCCAAATGGACATCAAGTGCCCCAACCCTAAGTGTGGGATCATCACAGTAATTTCTACTCAGTCTTCACACAAGGAAAAAGGGATGTGTCTCCAGCTCTTTCTCACAGAATGATATATGCACCCCAAACTCCTCTACTTCCTCTGGGTCATGGCTTGGCTCCAACTGTAACCATGGCAACAGGAAACAGCACATAAGACAGCTGAACCCTGTAAGGGCCAGGGTTAAATGGGGAAGTGAAAAATATATATATATATATATATACCTTAAGGTCCAAGAGTTAATGGCAGCCAAAAATGCCTTGAGAGAACACCAAAGAAAGAATACAAAAGAAAGAGAACAGAAAATAAAGCTTATTAATAGGTTATTCAGCTAGGAGACAGGGTTGGCAAAGATAACTGAAAAACACACAAAAAATTCCACTTCTCTCTCCTCCTCCACTCCTCTCTCCATTACGATTCAGCTATTCGTGTTGATGCTATCCAGTAAACCTTCTGCCATTAACGGGTCACCTTTTCCTCACCCTATTCTGATGGCAGAGGTAAGAAGCAGCGAAGTATCTAGAAATGTGGCAACACAAGAGCAAATTAAAGGACCACATATCTGCCAACTGAAAACCCAGACCTTAGATCACTGAAATATTACTGTACTTTAAGGTTTCTCATTTTAAATTTCTTTTCATTTGCCACTGTGAAAGAAACATCACATTTTACTTAAAATTAAAACCTCCACTGGATAAGTTATCATCCACCCACAGTTTCAGATTGCCTTTGTTTACATGTGATGTTCAAGAGCATCAATAATGTACGGCGAAAATGAAAGAACTAAGGAAGATCTTCTTTGACCAAAAAAAAAAAGGAAGCAAATAGGTCACACCAAAGTCGGTTGGCGGGTAAGAACCCTCAAGTCCAGATTCACTGTTACGACTTCAGCTTTATACTGCTGTGTGCGCGCTTTTATCTCCACCTTACCTAGTTCTGTGAAAACAATTAGGAATTTTACTATGAGGAAATCTCCCCGGCCCCGAGTTTCTTTTTTATGATGCTAGTCCTCCTTAGCAAGACTACCAAAATCCCCTGCCAGAATAACTGAATGAGCTGGGACACCTACTCCTAAATTTAGGGAAAGTTTACACTAAAGGCACAGCATGATGATGGCAGTCGAGGGCAGGGAAAAGTAATCCTAGAACTAGGAGTTACAGTGACAGTTTCAAAAGAAGGGTCAGCGTGGGACACGCTGGCTCTGGGAGGCGTTTGTAGCCCGGGAGTCTCTAGGGCAACACTAGATGCAAATAGTGCTTTGTCCCTCAAACAGTGCTAAGTCCCTCACATAACTGAAACCCTCCCTTCCGGACAGGAGCAACAGGCTCATTATTGGACAGCAAACCTAGCCCACAGTCTGGAAGACGGCAGGCTCGTGGTCAAGGGGCTCTTTATCCCGCAAGTCCCTGCAACACAGCGATGCGCATGCGCCCCGAGGGCAGCAAGCAAGCACCCGGAGCTCGTTCACACTCGCGCATGCGCAGTCACCCATCTCGCCGCAGGCGACAGCTCACTATTTGGCAAGGGGGATGGGGCTCGGAAATGATGGGGGGGCCGAGGGCAGGGGGCGCGTTTGTGTCTCCTGAATGCTTGAGATAAGAAGGGACGGTTGATTAGGCGCTGGCATTCGCAGGCCACGTAACCCGGGTGTAGGAAATGGGACAGAGAAGAGTATATGTGTGTAGTTACGGGGGGGAGTGGGGGGG